ATAGTCAATGAAGTCATATACTAACACCATGTGTTGGTTCCGATACCTCAAGCTGTTTTCCAACCCACTCGTAATCCAGCTAGCATTATGCATCGTGATATGTTGTGATTAGTTAACTCATACTTCAGTGATGAAAAGATAGATCCTCACCAACAAATTTTCAAACTTGACCTGCAATACTCCATATCATTACAGCATTACTTACTAAGATATTTTACCTTACATAAGTAATTCTTCGAAACTATCTATAATCAACTAATGATGACCAACTTGCTACCCTGTATACTCGTCCTCTAGTAGACAAAGAGACTTAGTTTTTCTTATTCTATAGTTTCTAATAGTGTGATTCCAAGAAAGACATTTCATTTAGACCATGAGTGAGTAGTTAATTGTAACAGAAAACAACAACGTTCTGAAGATTATTTTCCCTTCAGAAAATTGTTCTATTCCTTGCCAAAATAACCTCTGTTTACTCGAAATTAATAATCTAGAAAATAAGGTGAATTACACTTATTATCAAGTAGGTTAACCTTTAAATTATCTTCCGAAATTAAAGTATACTGAATTAACTAATTCAGTTGGTTTATTTATTTACGAAGTTCTACGTTGTTACTGACTGACTGAGTTGGTTTATTGCATTATTTATTTGAAAACATAAATATTTGTACAAAGGGGCACCAGTTACATATGCACGACACAATAATAATCAGAATGTGAAGAGATAGAGAATCTAAGGTGTATATAGGAAAAAGGGGAACAATAACGAACAGAAATTAGTGTATGTTAGTGCAATAACAATAATGAGAGGGCTAGTTCAAATAGCAAGATCTTCAAATACAATACGGAGAACAGCAATCCAATCACTCTTGATGGTGAAAGTCTGGAAGATGTAGAATCCTTCACATACCTGGGAAGCATCATCGATGAACAAGAAGGTTCAGATACAGACGTAAAGGCGAGGATTGGCAAAGCAACGACAGCATTCCTACAATTGAAGAACATATGGAACTCAAAACAACTGTCAACAAATATCAAAGTGAGAATCTTCAATACGAATGTCAACACAGTCAGTTCTACTGTACGGAGCTGAAACTTGGAGAACTACTACAAACATCATCAAGAAGGTACAAGTATTTATAAATAGTTGTCTACGCAAGATACTCAACATCCATTGGCCGGATACCATCAGCAACAGCCTTCTGTGGGAGAGAACAAACCAGCTTCTAGTTGAAGACTGAATTAGTAAAAGACGATGGAAATGGATAGGACATAAATTAGGAAAATCAAACTGCATCACGAGACAAGCTCTAACTTGGAATCCTGAAGATAAGCGAAGAAGATGAAGGCGAAAGAACACATTACATCGGGAAATAGAATCAGATATGAAAAGGATGAATAGGAACTGGAAGGAGCTGGAAAGTATTGTTTAGGACAGGGTTGGATGGAGAATGCTGGTGGTTGGCCTATGCTCCTCCACAAGGAGTAACAGGCGTAAGTAAGTAAGTTAAAATAGCATAAGTACAGCCACAGACAATTCTTCCACTTAAGGAGGTTACGTCTTTTTCATGAAGTAAAATCAAGTTACAGCAGCATCGCCATTGGCTTCTATTTCTAAGCCATATCTGATAACTTCTCTAACCACTGTGTTGCACTATCTCTAGGACTTCAACTAGGGAGTCGTGAAGGACCGATAGATTAACTACATAAACAAAGAACACTATAGTTCTATTACTATAAACTTTTATGTATATAAAGTTTAAGCAGTATTTCTCCAAATCTTTTTATTTCAATGATCAAAGTCTATCAGTTGAATCTTGATATATGACCACCAATAAACTTTGTTACAATTTATTAGATTTAATCATCTTTATGGCTTTTATCCAAAAAAACCCACTAAAAACATAATCTGTCAAAAAATTTCACATTAAATACTGTTAGTAGTTCAAAACACTTTGATATGAGAGTATAGATTAGTGCATTAGAAAATTTCAGTTAATTATAATGTAAACACTTATACAATGCGAATTTATCGATGGTCATTTAAGTAATATAATTAATATCAGAATGGGTTTTTGTGGGTATTATAGTAATTGCAATAGTTAAGATCATAAGTCAATTGAAGCTAGACCAGTAGGGAAAACCTGGATGACCATTTTTTCGTTTTGTGGGACTCCTCAGCAGTGCGCACTCACGACCTCGCCTCGCGAGATTCGAACCCAAAGACCTATCAGTCTCGAGTGCGATCGCTTAACCACTAGACCACTAAGGTTCAATTGACTCATGATCTCATCTATTAAAATTAATATAATTAAGAATATTTTCTATATTGTGGATTCTTATTCTGAAATTGTGTAATTAGGAATTAAATTAATTTAGATTTTGTCCCATTAAATAATATGACAAACTGGTTTGTTCTAAAATCAGATTTTATGAAATACTTTTGTTGTATAACTGTAACACACTGAGTAAAGGACTAGTCAAATAGATTTGATTGACAAATTAACGTTATCCTTTTTGACTATGAAGCATAATCACGGTACGTATAATGAGGAGGCCAGGACTTTTGGGACTATTCTTCTCAATTATAATTATTCTTATTTCTATTGTATAATTAAATAACCTCGTGCTAGTATTTCTGTATTCTCTTTGTTGTGCTTTCAGTGGACTTGCTCGCTATTGTCATACACTTGACAATCCCTAATTACTGCTAATTATTTACGTGCTGTTTACTTCGCTGTCGTTTATGTGATGGTTGTGTTTAAGGTATGATTTCTTATTTGGTGTGTTGTGCATTCTGATAAGTCGTGTATGTAAGCTGATGTTTTTTATCTAGTTGTCCATTTTAACTGGGTGGTTGAAATGTAGTAACGACAAGCTTGGCTGTGAACTTCTCTTTGGACTCAAGGGTGCGAATAAAGAAAGGCTTGAGGATAGGCAGACCAATAGGAGCGTGGATTATGATACCCCAAGGTTAATCGTACCAGTCAGGACGTAGAATTGTTCGAGTTAAGGACAATGGACTACAAACGTAATAGTAAACTTGGGGTAGGAATGTCCTAATTAGAATACTGATTGGCGAGTTTGACATGTGATATCAATTTGCATCTCCAGACAAAAAGTATCTTGGAGGTCGATCTGTTTTAATGAACACGTTCAGCTGTCTCTAACACTTTTATCTTGTAGATAAAAGACATGTTTCGTTCTGAAGCAGCAATTTACGATATGGAAATTTCCTTTTACGTTAATACAAAACGATAGACTATCATGGAATCCTTATTAGTACTGAGGGTTAGGCATTTAGATTCATGTGATCCTATCTGTTGTATTAATTTGTTTGGATTTTGAGTAAGACTACAAATCAATGTTCTGAGTAAGTGTAAAAATTAAAAAGCCGTTAATAATAGACAGAAACAGTCACTAAGGAAATAAGTGCCATAAACCAATAAGGTTTCAGAAAATTAAATTGAAACGGGTCTTCTAGCAACTTAACTGGTTTTAATGTATAACGCAAAGTATTCAATGAGCCAATCGCAAGTGGAATAATGTACTTACGAATTTAGATGAACGTGTGAAAGTAAGTGCTGACGATAGCTTGGTTGAAGTTTCTGCAAAGGTTTAACAGTATATTCGATCATCACTCATGAGATGAATATCTTTCTTCGAAGAGCTAAAATGTTTATAATTAAGATCATGACACGCATCAATTACTTGTAAAACTGATATTTGCTTATACAGTAGTCATTGTTAACGATATCACTTAAATAACGATACGTGTAACTATTTATTTAAACACATGAATGTTGATACGAGTGGGCACCAGATACATATGCACCACACAAATCTTATTTGATTTGTATGAGAGTTATGATACTACCCGGGTGCCCAGACCTAAGTAGATGGTTTTCTTAAGGGGCCACACTCGAAGCCTTTGACCTAAAGGTCTGATCCATAAAGCAGTGAACCGTCGTAAGGAGATGCAGTCTCATGGTAGCCGGTGACCAACGATTGGTTCACACGCCATTTGTTCTTTCAGGATACTGGAGCCCATATGCACCATTGGTTTGGAATCAGGTTTTCCCGACTCCCCTAGGTGGACCCTCCGTGTCCACCAACGCGGTTAAAGTGCCGAACATTCGCTCTTCGTCCTCTCAATTTTGTAAATAGTAATGCCGCGATAAGGCAGTGAGTAGGACTTCTCTGACAGAGGCTGTATACGCGTGGCCATGTGAGAGCATTTCGAGAGGGGGAATGGACCGTAACCACTCTTGACCGTACCAAAGCATTTGGGGGCTTGTAACTATCCAGGTTCTTGTTGCGTTCGTGCCTATTAATGACACAAGATTTAAATTTAGTTGTTGAGATCTGAATTTGAAATTAAAAACATTCATATGTATTGCGCAAATATATCACACAGTTCTGATAATCTTCGTCTTTTTATTACATTATCGAAACAGTTATCTATCTCAGACAATGAAAGAATAGCCGTGAATCGACTAAAGTTAGACATAAATGCCGGTTTAGTGGTCTAAGGGTTAAGTGTTCTTCCGCGAGACCGGATGCTACTCGTTCGAATCCCGCGTGTAAGGTCATTGATACAGACTGTTGGATAGTCTTATACGAGGATGAAATAACCATCCATTGCTTCCAGACCAACTTACAAATTCAACCATTGAAATGACTACCATCTCTACAAATCCTCATTCTGATAATTAAAAAAAGAAAAACAATCAATAAAACAGATTTCTTTTCCCATTTCTAAAAAGAAAAATCAAAAACCAAACATGAAGATGAACAGTTCATCATATATTCAATTCATAAAGTCCATGTATAATAGATGCATATGAAATAACAAATGCATAATCTTTTAAACAAAAAGAAAATGAAATCACAAAACAAACAAACAAAAAAGAAGAAGAAGATGGTCGACATATTCAAGATAAAACAAACAAACAAACAAATCTGTACAATTCAATATAGAATAAGTATTTTTTTCTCATTTATTATTGTGTAGGTTTTAAAAATAAGTTAATTTTATTGCAACAAATTTTATTCAATGTAATTTGATGGGTACTTTTATCTTTCAATTGAACAATGAGCTATTTTCAAGAAAGAAAAATAAATAAAAAGAAGTTTTATGTAGATTCAATGTAAATAAATAAAGTTTTATGGAAAAATTTTATTAATTGAAGGCATTGTGTGTTATATATAACGGTTGGATTTTACTTCGTCTGATGTTATTGTGATGTGTGCTACTTATATTGACTATAAGTAGTAGATTGTGTTAGTCGTGAACAGAAATGTCTGGCAGTAGAGAGACAAGAAGATCAAACAGTAAAGAATGGAAAAACAGAATGCAATTTGTATGAAAATACAAGAACAATGAAGTCTGGGCCATTTTCAGACAATTGATGGTCATTATGCAAATTGAACATTTAATATATGGTTTTCAGATTTTAATAACATGAATATGAATAGAAGTAGCTGCGACAAGAAATCTAGCTGTTCCGCCCCAAAGAAAAACCTTTAAATAAGTCTGGAATTTAAAGGTGATCGAACATCAGACGTAATCAAAACTCGTTTAACAACAACGATTAGAAGGACATTTAACGCCGCTAAACTGCGAGTAACCTTCACTAGTAGGAACTTATTTTCTGTATCCATAAAGGATAAGCTTCCGCGTCTGGTCACCTCTATGTGCATCGACCAGTTCACCTGCTCTTGTGCAGCAAGGTACATTGGCCGTAGCCAACGCTCGCTTTCAACTCGGATACGGGAACATATCCCAGCTTGGTTCTATAAGGGTGAAAAGAAAGCAGTTAGGAGTTCTATACTTGAACACCTAATCGACTATAACCATTCTACAGATCCACAAATTGATTTTAAGGTTGTTTATATGATTCGTTCAAATCTACCCAGATTTCTTCGTATCCAACTCTTAAAAATAGCCGAAGCTCTTACCATCCAGGAGCTTAAATCAGAACTATGCGTACAAAAGAAGTACGTCTTATCGTTATCGTTACCTTGGCCTTAAGCATTTTGATTATCCAATTATTATTATTATTATTATTATTAATTATTATTATTATTACTATTTATTATTATTATTATTATTATTATTATTATTATTATTATTATTATTATTATTATTATTATTATTATTATTATTATTACTGCATTCACCCCCTTTACTGATGTCTTATATTCTCATTGTTTTATTCGTAAATGCTCATCATCATATCACCTTATTTATTTACGTTTTACACCTCTATGACCTTTAATTCTTATAACAAAAAAACATTTTAATCATGTTATTATATTCACCAAATCCATTGTTATTATTCATATTACGTAATCTAGTATTATAACCCCTTTTTTATTACTTCATGGTTAATTGTGTTCACATTTCCTCACGGAATTAGTACTTTAAAAAAAACAAAAAATTTTCATATATATACGATTATACAGCTTGATAATCAATTCGTTGAAAAGAGATCCCTTCGCTGAACTTCATGTTTTAATATATATATTCCTATTTTATAGTACGATGCAATCTGATTTGGTTGTATATATATATATATATATATATATATATATATATATATATATATATATATATATATATATATATATATATAATCCCTATATATCTGAAATATATAATTGATAGAATGAAAGCTGAGATTGTATTCTCGATTCAACAGACAAGTTTAGGCGCATTTATGCATCATTGATCCAGTCGATATAAGTTACTATTCTCTAACTGACGATTGTGTCACGATCTAATTAACAAATCACAACAACATACAACAAAATCTAACATTTACAAACAGGTACTACACTACAACCACCATATTATTTAAACTTTTTCAAATTCTGTCTTATAAAGTTTAATTTTGTAATGCTGTGTGGTGACGATAGATAGATAGATGTGATCACTGAAATGAATATTAACAATGGTGATGTTCCAGTGTTATTTCTAATTGACCAACTAATTGATTAATTGACTAATTTCTCTATTGATTTTGTTTGCATGATAAATTAAGATATTTTAGAATGAATCAATAAGATTGCATAGAAATTTGACGAGAATGTTACACATTATTCAGTATACAATTTGCTTGATCATAAATCAAAGTAAAGAATGATACAAATATCCGTTAGATCAAGTCGATGAGTCACGTTATGACGACTAGATTTAAATTGACAAGATGTATAATAAAAGAGATCGGAATAATTATTTAGATGGTCAATATCAAAGGAAAATACAAAATGGATGCTTCTATACTACTGTGAACAATTCCTAAGTCATACTGTGGTGTATGCTACTTATGTTGACGGATACAAGTAGTATGTAGCACCAAACAGAAGTGGGATGCCTATCAGCAGAAGATTAAGTTCAAATTGAAGAGAATAGGAATGTAAACAGACAACAACAGAGAGAGATAACTCATAGAAGATGTTATAATAAAGTATTTAATGTATGATTTTAATAGTCCTTTATTTTTTTATATAACTTCAGTTATCATTCTGATATTTCCAAATAGACAAATATTAATGATGATTTCACTTCAATGTACAATTAATATCAAGACGAATTTTCATTCTATTCATACCATACATGATGAAGAAATGACTAAATATTTATATTAGATTTAATAGAATTATTACTACCATAACTCAACGAAAGTTAAAGAGATGAAAACTGAAGTGTTAATAGGTAACACAAGACAACTAATGCAACTCATCAAGGGAACAGATAATAAAATGTTAGCTATTTTGAAAAGACTGTTTCAGAAAAAAAACGTGACGTCGTTGTAAAATAATACGATGGATAACTGGACTGAGATTTCACTACCACTAAACTGAATACTCAACTGATATGTTATATACACAGACTGGATAACGCTATACCAAATAGATGATTTACGATCAAAAATAGATGATCGGAGTACAGGCTAGACAATACTTCATTCAACACAATTACAAACAATCTATACTAAGAAACCAATCACTGGCAGGAGATCGCATATTAAATTGTCAGTAGGCTGGGTATGTTTGTTCACTGTTAAATTACATCTTAACTCCACTATACGAGCATCAATTGGTCAAACTGATTTATCTATGATTATCACAATAGGATTCTAGTCTTTTCCCATGAATTTGGACGGTTGCCGACTTAGACAAGCTGCATGGGATTATGTCAAGTTACAAATTCTAGTTAATATCTCAGTCGAATTAATCCGTTCTTTTCTATTTCCGTTCGTCAAAATCTATCCAATCTATCACTAATATTACTACGATTTCAATTCAACTAATATTCAGTTTATTAATGTCACTGCTATAATCTACAATCCCACATTCATTTGTAGTTAGTAGAAAAAAATCAGTAACATAAACAGAAAAACATAAGTAACCAACCTCATCAGTTAATAGGACAGGAATATCATTTTCTGTGACAAGGCATATAATTTTGATGCATTCTTGACGACAAGATAATATAAAAGCCATTCGACTACGTAATTCATGAACCTTCATTTCATAGAGCATAATTGCATGATAGACTAAAATTATGTAAACAAAACACAAACAAATAAAGTAGGAATGAGTTAATCAGTCAGTTTTCATATAAGCAACGTAGGACCTGGTATACATGTACATCGACCAAGTTGCTACACCCCATCAGCAAAATGAGATGAAAATATCAGGGAAAATTCTAGAGTAATCGAGGTAGTTAACAGTACCAGTTGTAATAAAAAAGGTTAGGCATCAAAGATACTGTTCGAGAAAATAAGAATTAGTGCAATAGTAAAAAATATTTAAAAGGAATCCAGAAACCTAGGATTCAAGAAAAGACAAAGAGTGAGTGAGCCTCTGCCATTGCGAACGACTTTAAGCTATGGTCACCCAAAGTCTTTAACGATTGGTTACGATAATCGCGCAGACCCCAACCAGGTAGTCTAGATCAATTAATATGGGTCAGTCCAGTTGTCAGTGATTTCATGGACTGATGTCAAATTTTGGTTTGGTCGCCCCTAGCTTTTTTTCAGCCTACTCCTACACTAGCAACCATCGTGCATCAAGGTAGTCAGAGGATAAGCATACGTAATACATGTCTTATGGTCGGGAAAGTGGGAATGAATATGATGATAAAATAATTATTTTGATAGAACTACTCCAGTGTATAAGGTAGTACAATTAAATAATCTTTACAAAATCTCAATCCTAGCAAAGGAGTTAGTTGTGCTTAAAAGTAGTCCCTGACTTTACGGATTCCTAAAAACATGGTTTCCGGAGTATGACCATAAGTAGAGTAAGACAATTACGCAATATGAGTAAATTGTTCGCAGTTAGAATTGAGGAGTTTAAGAAAAACTCGACAAGGCAGAGTGCATCGAGATGTTCAATCAGTCAGTAAACTAACTTTTGCTAAGACATTGGGATTCCTCAAATCACCAAACTCAATGACTAGACACCGCAAAAATGTCCCCAGAGTGTAGCGAGATGTGATAAGTCTTAAATACGAAAATCAAGAGAGAGTCTTAATAACGATTATTCAAATGTCATTTCTAATACTAAACCCAATATTCCATCACAGTGAAAGTCATATTTCAATTACATAATTACTAATGTACATTAATAGGTCAGTAGTAGTAAAAATAGTAGAAGCAGTGAGTACATGGAATAGCAATATTATGATTAAGTGGACAAAACTACATAGCACACTTTTATGACAAATTGATTTCAGTTACCTGGAAATTTCTAATCAGACCAGCTTATTACAATATTCAATTAAAAAATATTAATACATAAAAGAAGGATAGGTAAAAAAATAACTCCTCATTACAACATACTTGTTTCTCCTTTCAAGCACACGTATAGTGTACATCTTGGCACTGTAGGTCTTTAAAAAGAAAACAGAATAAATAATACCCGAAAAACATATGATTAATAATTGTTAAGAAACATCATAATAAAACATCTATATTCAGTATACTACTTAAATAGTATCCGATTCAAGATAAATACAATAAAATGGAAATATTAAAACGTCATTACTGTAACTTTCAGTTATTAGACGGCTACAATTGCACAAGGTCAATAGGAATCAAGTTAAACCAATCACCATATCGACTTACATAACTAAAAGTTGATGTCATAAACGTGGTAACCACGTCATCAGCTTAACGTTGCATATATCATAATAAGATCTAAATAAATTGCTAGAATGCTGACCTATCATTTTTGCAACTTGAACAAAACAGCCAACACTGGAACGAACAATCGTATGAAGGACAAAAAATTCGTGAACTAGTTGGAAGCAGGGTTATCAGAACAGACTGGACGAGGCATTTGTACAACAATTGAAATGTGTGCTAATGATGTTGGCCAAAACGATAAAAAGCTTCGTAATTAAACTATTCAGCTCAGAGAACTCAACTTTACCTAGTCAACATCCACATAACGAGTTACAAATCTTCATCAACTCACTATGGATGGTTACGCTTTCTTCATTTAACAATTGGCTTAATTGAGATAGATTGGTCAACTGAAAAGTTTTTTATAATTGATTGATCATGAAATGTTGATTAATATCATATTTATCTAGTATTTTCGTGCCGTTAATCGAATTTTATCGGTTAAGTTTCACTGTGGTTATTAGTCTAAGTGTTTCGACATCATCTGGACTATGTTGAGAAGTTAGGTGATTGGACGTGGTCGCCAAGAAACCCTGTTTGGCACCTGCTGGCAAGGACTACGTGCAATCTGTAGGGTACTAATATTCCCTAGTGAGCTCAAACCCCCGTCACCCAAATCTGCATTCTGAAATGTTTATACTATTTCGGTCCACTTTTTATGTACAGAACAACCACTGAAAATTGAAAGGGAATCTAGGCCACAGTAGAACTTCAAAACATGTAGGGTGCTGATTAGATATTCGATCGCATATTTGTGTTTTCTTCTAACCAGCATATGGCCATAAATGATAATGAAGAGACATAACATGAAGTATTAGTATAGGGGTTGTGGAGATTATTAAGTTTTTGATTGAGATCATGAAGTAGCCTATGTAAAATGTCGGATGAGAACTATTGACGAGTTACAGAACTAGGACAAAACACATGTCAAATACACCCTGCGCTTCTTAGGTGATCTCAACTTAAGATTACAACAATTTACAAACTAAACTAATACCGACAAAATCACCCTGAAGCAATAATCAATATGTAGATCGTATTCACCATAGATTGACCTCAATCAAGGCATAATTGTGTACAAGCGAGATTTGAACTATTGTTTCGTTTTAGTATGATACTACTCCGAATTATGAATTAATGACACTTTTAAGGATCGAATCTATAACCTTGCATAGAGCAATTAGTTACTAGACTACTGACTTAGGTTATGAGTTATATTTCCAACTTCTTCAATTAATAATCGATTAAAACTGTTTTATCATGTAAAAGAATATCAAATCAAATTACTTGTTATAAAGTGAGTTATATAATCGTAAGCCTTCTAATGATCCACAAATAGACAATAAATCTTCTTTAGCTAGACGAAGTATATCACAACCTAATGGGATAATTGAAAAGAAAAATCTAAATAAGTTAATATGTAACAACAACGGAACTGGAAGTAAACTCATAGGGGAAGAAAACACAAAATTTAAAAATAATTGAATCTGTCTCAAATCAAAGAAAGAAAAAACCGAAGGGAAACATTTGAGAAAATCTTAGAAATTCAATGCAAAAATACAGAGCTGAATAAGAATTGTTGCAGATTTGAATTTCAATAGTTAGATAGTCATAGTCCAGAAAAGACCATCATATTTTTTGTCCACTCAGTTACAAGAAGGCACTAGTTAAAACACTATTTTATAGGGCAGAAAGGATATGTACCATTGACAAACTGGAAGAAGAATTGATGAACGTGGAAAAATGCCTACGAGACAACTTTTACCCACAAAAGTTTATTGACAAATATAAAAAGCGTAAAGAAAACAATACTGAAGTAATTACGGTCAATAAAAAACCAATTACTATAAATATCAACTTCAAAGGTGATGTTGCAAACACAATCAACAGGAGACTGAATACTGAGCTAGCCAGAACTTATCCGGCGGCCAAACTTTTAATTCTGTATAAAACAACATGTTCAATAACTCAATCAAAGGTTGGTAAGTATCCTTTTCATGTTACCGCCAATTGTATTTATAAGTTTACGTGTACCTGCCAAAGCAGCCACATTGGTCGAACAGAAAAGAGGGCATATCTCAGATTTTTTGAACATGTTCCAAAAAGCCTCAGAACAAGAGAAAGACTCGAAATAGTGCAATCACCAAACATCTTGATACCAGACATCAGGTCGATACCCTGCAATCATTCAAGGTGATTAGTAAGCAGCCAAACTCCAGTCTTCTGAAGTTTGCTAAAGCAGTTGCTATCAGACACCAAAAACCTGATTTATGTGTTCAAAAGGAGATGGTTATTAAACTTTCCTTGCCTTGGTGACTAATATTCCTTCGCTGTACCTCAATATGTTTTTTTTCTTTTTCTTTAAACTCTTTCTCACATTTATTACTTCACTGAGTTTAATTTCAACTATCTTCCAAATTAATAATCTTATTTTATCAACTGAACTCTACTCATTTTATTCCTATGAATGTTTACTTGTTTCTAGCCGTTTGAACTGTTGTCACAATGTTCTTTTACATAAGGTATATATTTACAATATTCAGTCTATTCAATTTATTTACATCCTTGCTATACTATACGAATATGCCTTCAATATAACTTCCAATCAAACTCTTTCATGTAAGTCATTTAAACCTATTATGTAATTATGATTTTAAATATCACAGGTTGTAAGCAACTGACGAGAACCAACGAAATAAAAATGAATTCATGTTATTCTGTTAGAATGTTTGTTCTTGCTCTTTTCAAAATGATAAACGGAACTATGTGTATGAAATAAATGAATTCATTATTAATTCTAGATTATCATTTATCGATTACAAACCTTCGATGTAATTAATTTGCTCACATTGTGATGTCTACTACTTATGTTGACAGACATAAGAGACAGCTGATAGAAGATGTACAAATGAAGTACATGATCTTCATATTTTACGAAGACATTGTAATTTCTCATTTAACAATAAATTACTTTTCTCCAACTGAGTTGTCGTCCACTACAACATTAGTGACGTAATATTGGGAATATCATATCCTCAAACCAATTTAAGGGGGATGTTTGCCAAGTCAAATTCAACCCGTTGTCGCGATTTATCTTGGTTAACTTCCGATGTAACTTCATTGTATTCAGCTACTTGCTCTTCAATGCGTTTTTACGTGCATTGATTATTCCACCATAATTTTGCATTGAGTGACAATAACTCAGTTAATAAAACTCTAAAACTAATAATCATTTAGCTGATAACTGAATTAGCGTGGATGTAAATCTAGTCTTCTTTGACCTCATCTAATATATCCTCTTAATATGATTTGTATTTTGAAGCAGTTGGGGAGTAGAAGCGCGTGGTATAACAGTTGTCGTTAAAGTTATCGCTTTATATTCTTTATCTGTAACACGTAGTCAGTTTACTAATCATAAATAAATGTATTATCGTTTAGGAAGGAAATATGTCTATAAACCTATGAAATACTTGATCAGTGATATTGAAGGTTGAAAATATCATCTTCAAGTAGCACATTCATTTAGATCTGTTTTCAGAATATCATAGAACATAAATTAAAAGAATTCCCTTAATGAATAACATTGTCTAATCCCATCGTTGGTTTGCAATAATAAAGAGACGTAACTGTATTCCACAAAATCTTTACAAGAACAGCACAACGCCAAAATTTTTTTCAACAGGCAATCTCAGAGAACTGTCCCCGATTGTTGGTCTGAAAAACTTGTAAACCTATTCAGTCATTTAGAAAAGGGTGAACATGGGAATAATGTATTCATTGTTGCATGAAAATTGAGCGAATCGAGAAGATTTAATCTTTTTATGAATATTGGAAGATCTGAACGGTATGATGGTAGCCAATATTTTAGACACAACTGGTAGCAGATTTATTCTAAGATGCTGACTGTCATGCATGCCACCTAGGCTCTTTATAATAAAGATGCATAACAAAACTGTTTCAATTTAAAGTGATAACACTTAGCTAGTGAGTCAGTCATCAACGTACAACCCGGAACCAATGCGTGTTGGTCTGAGTTTTCATACCACGCGAGTTGGAATTAACAAGAAGAATATCAAAAAAGATCGAAATAATGTGGTAAAAATGATTTTGAGAAAGACTGAACAGTGAGAATATTTTTTAAAACGATGGAGTAGAACGGTAAGTGTAAGTAGAAAAACGAGGGTTCAAGATCGATAGGAAAATAAAAGACGAATGTATTTGCATCGTTGTGAATAATTTTGAGGCATACCACCCAAACTCTCCAAAAATTAACCCCAGTTATCGTACAGGTCCCAACCACGTAGTATACATCTACTAACATACATTAATCAGATACTCTTAACTTTAATCAATTTGAAATTTAGTTCCAGTGGTGTAGTTGCAACACAACAACTGCAACGTAAATACATTCGTTGTCGAAACATTAAAAAAACACCTAACATTAACGACAACAATACAAGCATTTAAAGATTTAAAAAATAATGTTAAATAATATTACCTGTGAAATTCTTAAACGTTTCAAGAAGATTTTCAAAATTTGATTGACAAAGCCAATCTGCAACCTGTGATGCTGTCATTTCACAATGTACTACAGATGGTATATTTGAGGTAGTAATAGTAGTGGGTTTAACAGTAGCAACAGAAGTATTTATAGACGATGGACAGACGGATATTGATGATGATGTTGACGACAATGATGATGATGATAAAGAAGGAATTTCAATTTCCGGTTTATTCGGCAAAGAAACTATTGAATCACATGATGTAGCTTGATGAACTACAGAGTTTAATTTATCCATACATAAATCTTCAAATTTCAACAAATCTGCATAATCGTCATCATTATTATGGTGAACATTATTATTATGACTATTGTTCTCTGTACAATATTCAATTTGTTCTATGACTCTGTCTTCGACAGTGGGTCTGGAAGGTGACGATACCAACAGATCACTACAATAACCCATATCACGACTTGCTGGAGTTGCACTGGACATGCTTAATAAAGGATCCTCATCCGATTGTGCTATTACTACTGAATTAAGAGGATAATCAGGTAGGATGATAGATGATGGTTTGGATTTCTGATCATCATATTTATCTAATATAGTATATTTATTTAATTTATCATTATTTCCTAGACTAGACGATTCGCCTGATGTACTCAATTCATATACTCCTGAATGATGGTTATTATTTATGGAATTTGACTGGTGCGAAGGAATATTCATTTGAATCGATTTGGACTAAACAATACATAGACACACAAACATACAAAGAAATAACAATTAAAATTCAACTATACGGTATCTGGAAGGAAATTTTTAAATAGATTACAAGTTAAAAGACAGTTAACAAAGAGAAATTTAATACTCGATATGAAACTGTTATGTTTGCTACTTGACTACGACTAATATGACATGCAACTTCGGTACTTGAACGTATACATCCTTCTCCAAGTCGCGAATTAAAATGCAAAATAAAACAGGAAAAGCGTTTGCTACAGTAAATGTCAAAAATGTACAGAAAAACAGCTGTATTTATAGTTGTTGGTATATGCTGTAATATCGTCATAATCCATGAAGTTTAATTGCAGCACCTTAAGTCGATATTCTAGAAGATTCTATCGGATAGTAATTGAATGGGATCTCTATGGCCTCTTTAAAGCCTCTGAAGGCTTCATCACACTTTCCGCAAGCCGTCCCAATAGAAATTAGAAGTTTTGTAAAGAATATATAAGATTGTGAGAGACTTTAGGAAAGTTGATACAATTAGGAGAACAAACCCAAGAGTAATGAAAATCTGTTTTGCTAACAAATCACGTGAGATCATTCAATACGCTGTTGTTAAAAGGTACAAAACGGCAGACATAAGTGGTGAGAAACACAAAACATTAACACAATTGACATTTTTATGGGTCAATTTATAGTAGTATATAATTTGCTTTCACTAAATTACTTATTATTCTCACGCTAAAAGGGATAATTACCTTTGGGAATTCAGTCAAATGGGAACCGTTTTCATAACTATGTGCAGCTCTCCTTCTCTCTGAAATCACTGAGGCTTGTTTGGCACGATTTGTTGAATTGTCCCAGTTTGTGCACATCATTCTATTTTTATTACTTCGTATCCATCGGGAAGCACTTCGACAACTGCGTCCACATGATGAACAAGTCCCTGCACAACAGTCTCCTGCTCGAAGACGTCTACGTCGTTGAAGACATGGCTGTATAGTATAATTAAAACGCCTATTAGAAGATGGAGAAGGTGATATACCCGGAGATACATTTCTTAACGCTGAATATGCCGAACGATGAATTGGGTAAGTAGGTATAACAAATTCCGAAAATGACCGATTGGAAGCACTAGGTGATTCGATTGGGTTAGGTATTGCAAAATTGTTACTTGTATCATTTAAATCCTCTAGTGTAAAATTATCCTTCATCACTGCTTTCTCCACTCGTGCCAAACTATGAACACAACCAATAAAAAAATAATTGGAATACGATATGCAAATCTTAAGTAATTTGATGGACTGCCAGTCTCCATACACACCCGAAAAAACTTATCAGTCAAATACATAGTGGTCATTCCGTGAAAAGCAAGCAATACTTCAAAGATACCTACAGTGGACAACCTGCAGCATGAACATCTCTTCTACTTTAATAGACTATACTTCACAGCAATAGAGTAATATGGAACGGAATGCTGCACAGTACACTCATTATTTCGTTGATATGGATTCAGCTAAAGTCACATGTGAAGCAAGTTATCAGAATGTAACTGAGATTTCTGAATTTGGAACTTGACAAATTAGTTATTTCGATTCAATCTAAAATTCATGCAACATGAAACACCATTAACAATAGTCAACATGGGGATTGTACTGGATGATGAAATATTTCATTTGTATCCTTAGAACTTAGTTATTTCACTAATCCTCACATAGGAATTGTGACTGAAAGTCAAGTGCGTAGCTATAGTCAATCTCATTAGCCCATTAAACTTTAATATGTATTAAAAGTAGGAAAAACTGGTAATAGTTTCTTTTTACCCTATTTATTATTATTAACTCATTTACTAGGTTCAACTTTGCATACTTGGATTCGAGCTACACTCTAAATGTGAGGGCTAGTAATATTAACAGGTTGTCCAAACCGAAATAGGTCAATAGGGGTTCGAATCGAGAACTTGCTGGCTGAAAGTCGAACCTCTCAACCACTGACCCACACCCCAATCTATGATCACCCTCATATAATCATTGAGGATAATAGACAAATAGTTGGATGGAATAAGTCAAGATTATATTTGAGACAACTACTTCGTCGAATGAAACCATATGGAAATCAATGAGACCAGAGTGAAGTGTACAAACCCGGTACACCTGATGAAGCGGTAAATTTCTAGATTTCAAGCCAGTTTTTTTAGCATCGAGGAGGATATTAATGACAGTAAATAAAATGCTTCAATGACTCGAATATAAAAGAAAATTAGGATTTCCATGAAACCATTTAGTACCAAACAGTAAAACTGTAACTTACTTCTGTAAATCCAAACTACTCATGTCTACTTTAAATTGTTGGCATGAATTATTGCAAACAGACGTGGCTATTGTAGCGGAAGTGGTAAGAATTTGTGTATTTGTCACTTTTATTGATTGCTCTGTGAAAGCATCGTCGATCGCCGACTGCTTGTCTGTTATCGATTGATAATGACCATGGTTATGATGGTGATTATGAAATAATTTAACTTGCTTGCTAGGTAAATATGATAATTTAGTCACAGGAACTGATGGTTTATAAATAGCCTGGAGATAACATAAAATAATGTTGATTACTTACGATAATAAAATGAGATGATTCACAATTAGTCGCAGTTGAGTAGTTATACTCACTATAAGATCATGAGTTTCAAAATTACTTTATGCTTATAATTCCCTGAACTAAATCATTCCTCTTAAATCATAATCTCTATGTAGACTTTTTGATTAATAATGATGAAACTGATTATTAAAATAGGAGAATTTGTGGACACTGTAGAATTTTCATAGTTTTAAATCACGAACTGAACTTAGCCAGACCACCAGCGAAAAATAGAAAGCACCAGACGACCATTTCGTTCCAACAGTGGGCATTCATAACCTCGCATCAAGGATCCGAAGCCGGGACGTTAGATCTCGCATGCAAATGCTCAAACTCTAAACCACTGACCCAACATCTGATGGTATTAATGTCTAACTTCAATCAATTCACGATATTATGCAATCATCATCCATTGCCTGAGGTGGAAAACTGTCTCACATCCAAAATGATTGAACTCCATTGGTCACGGCTTCTCACTGGAACTTGGGAGGTTGCATCATGAGGTTAGTCACTGGTGAACATATTATTACTAGAATAGGATTACTAGTACCACTGCTACTGCTTTTTTATTTATCCTTAAGATTTCGTTTTGTTGTATTGATGTACGGTAATTTGACTCGGTGCACATTTATTCTAGTCTAAACGTCGAATATAATTGACTGGCATTCAATTAGTGAACTTTGTTGTATATAATACGAATTTCAGATTTTTTACAGTTTATTTGGACAAAAAAGAGAAAAGAAAATAATTAGTAGTATAAACGCTTTGGAACTTTCAGGTCAGGTGATGGAAACGTCGTCACTGATAATAGTACGACAAAATCGAATGACTATTATCTCGAAACTTCAACAAGCAAGAGTATTTATAGTCGCACTACGTGGTGTTCGCGCTACATTGGTTATTGTATGATTGAAACATAAAATACTATTCATCAGATAACAATCCACTGGGTTGATGGTAACATGAACATTACGAAGCGTGTAGGTCGTATAGGCCAACAAAGTACATTAATGAGTTCCAAACAAAAGGTTTTACAAGAGCTTGCCATCTCTACAATGATTCTATATTAATGCTATCCGTTGATTTAATGAACATTTGGAAAAAAGGTGAAGGTTAAAATCGAGAAACCACAAATTATATTCAAAATGCATTTACCTGACCATCACCAGATTTACGCTCTATTCTTTCTCGATCTGTTTTATGCTTACGATCAGCTCCCTTCATTTTGAATACTTTAATTTGACAAGCGAATGATCCTAAATGTTGATTAGTATCATATTCAAAATGTTCTACCTAAAGATTTTTTGTAAAAATAATCCCCGAATTAAACTATTAAAACAAACGGTTAGATAGTCAGTCAATCAGCTACAACGTAGGACCAAGCACATGTATGCATCGGTTCAAGTTGTCACACCTCATTAGCATAACGAGATGAACATCAAATTCATAGATGCAGTTACTTCAATTGTAGTAATATTTATAAATAAACATTAAATATAGAGATATAATACAGGAAGAAAGAATTAGTTCAAAGAAAAGTATTAAGTAATTTTAATCTCACGGTTTAAGGGAAGACAAAGAGTGTATACACTGTTATATCCCGACGAGAATATTGTAATATATTGTAATATTGTAATGAACTAATTTAATTAAATACCATAAATACTAAAAACAAACAATCTTATGTTGTTTGTTGATGTCGTCTATTTTTAAATTACATTGTTAAGGGATACATAAAATCTTTACTAAGTACAGACTTATATACCTGACTATTAGGCAGTTTAGGTGAGAGCTAGTGAAGCTAAATAACTTTACAAACTGGAATGCAAGTTAGGAAGTGATTAAGTCTATGGTTGACATAAACCCTCAAATTTTTATAATGTACATCGTTTTTAGAAAATGAAATTGCAAAAATTAAACAAAATTAATATTTCATAGTTCAAATCACTAACCCACCTTTGTTAAACAACTACTGAAAGTCAAGAATCATTGTACAATCTTATCGTCCTAGTAAGGGATCTCCCTAGTAGTACGTATTCACAACTCGATTGAAGGTCGAACCTAAGACTAGGTTTCATTGAAAACCCTCAAGCTTTAAGCTAACTAGCCTGAATTTAATGGTCCAACTTTAATCAATTCACAATACTGTTCAAATATCATCCAATATCATTGGCAAACCACTGCCTCAGTTCCGATATGGTTGAATTTTACCGGTAAAATACAGCTCACTAGATCTCCGAGAATCATCTCTCGCAATACTAAGGATTGATTGAAGCTAGAAATATGAGTCATTGGGTGTTAATCCAATGGTCTGTAAATTAACACCCACTTTGAGATGAAAATGTTCTAGATTGGATTCCTGGCGGGGTCGAGGAATCCTTTACAGGAATGAAATAACAGACTTGTGCTTCCAGGCTTCTAATGACTGTCTACGACCAATTTTTTACATGAAACAAAGAAATTCAACTATCTACATAAACCCCCTAAACTAATAAAAACCAACTTACCCGAAATCGAAAAGGAATTCCTTTTTCACCACCATGTTTCTTAGCAGTGAATTCAGTACTGACACAGTTAAATCGCAAACCAATAGTACATTTCGGATATTTCCATATACATAATATATCATCTGATGGAGTATTTTCATTATCTAATTCTTCATAATCATTCGATCTTTTATAATCTTTAAGGTGGGTTTTTTGAAGAAAAATAAGGATTTACTCAACAATATGAGTGGAATTATACTTACTAATTTTTAATTTATCCAAGTCGCGTATATATGGTTATCTTACAACTCAACACAGAAGGCGGCGTAACTCACATAGGACTTTTTGCGCTAGTCGAGATAATAGTATCCATTGTAATGAAAAAAACTTAGACATAGGTGATAAAGAATAAATGTACTGAGGTCTCACAAATCGAAACTATAAAACCTATACCTCTTGATATGATTCAAATCAACAGTTAATGACTTGAATGACTGACGCTACGTTTTGGTTTTTCAGCTCCACTGCTGGATGGAGTAATGTGCAGATAATATGAAACAAAGCAAATGCATGTAAATGGGTTTAATAAAGCCATTTTATCCAAGTTGGTGGACTCGTAAAAATTGACTAGTTTAGATATGTTCATCAAAATCAAATGATGAAAACTATAACTACTGTTTAATTACATTATTCTGTGTACGTTCAAACTTTTAAGAGATGTTTAAGAGGAGTTTAGATAGTGGACAGTAATCTAGACGACCAATTGGTTTTAAGCTAGAAAACATGAAGTCCTTAGAACATCATAACCTATCATTCGTGATTACAACTAAAACCTAATGTAGCCATCGCCCTTGTGCTATCAGGCATTGCCGTTCTGTTACTCGAGACACAACCATTGGTATATTTATTCATTTGCTTTTCATCATATTAACTTCTTTATATTGTGTTATTGTGAGGAACGGTGACTTGGATCAACAACCAACTTTCCTCGGCTATACATTAACTATGTTTCTGTCTATCAATCAAAGTAGATACAGTCAGTTTGATATATGGTCCGAAAGTTGAAAGTGCGATGTTTAGACAATGAAATTACAGCTCTACTTTTGTATGGACCACTTGAAATATTTAATGGCGATTGGCTGTATAATCCGGAATAAATATCCCTTACATCGAACTTATCGTCTAGCGCATAACAGTTATATTTATTTGATTAACAGCTTGCGAACACATGTTTAGAAAAAGGATAGATGGGAATTACACCTTAAAGAAGATTTAAAAGTAATCTATATGCGAATAAAACATAAACATTCTACAACTTTAAGTAGAAATCTGGAATATCATTACGCTCACCTACGTCTAGGAGGTTTTCACCAGGGTGTGTTTGATGCCAGTTATCCCAAAGCTCGTGTTCATTTAATTCCATCCGTTTATCGTAGAAAGTAACTCGAATCCATGTCTACAAAGAAAAAATGAGAACAATAATAGGCTCAGATTGAAGATAAAGACGTATAGATGTAAAAGAAATAAACTGATATAAACAACGTCGTAAAGGCTTGAAAACTAACAGTCAGTCAGTCACTAACAATGTAGAACTTTGTACGTACGTACATCAGTTCGAGTTGCCATACCACATTAGCACAGAGATGCAGTTATCGATTCAAATCCCGTAGTGGTAGAGGCGGTAAGAGTATAAGCAGTAATCGGAAAGATTAGGGTTTGAAGATGTTATTTAAAGAGTATAATCCAGTGAAATAAATTTGAAAAGAGAAAAAAGAGACAAGGAGGATTCAGGAGATTAGAATTTGGGAGAACACAGAGAGTGGATGCACCTGCGCCATTGCAAACGATTATGAACCATGTCAATATAATTACAATCAACTATCGAAAATTCATTGATGGAAACAAAAAGACGGAAATCTTCGCAGTGAGCTAGTAAAAATAGTTCACAGTTAAATGGGAATTTCACATGAAAAAGCACCGTATTTATGAATACTAAGTCAAGAAACTGTTATTCTATTGCTTTTATTGTTAACTGTTTCAGAATTATGCAGCCTTTCCTGATTAGCTTATAAATTTCCCAAGATCGTCAGTATAATATACCTTCACCGTGTTGTGTATTATTTGTCCTGTCTATCCAATTAACATAGATCCCACTGAGTATTAGAATAATCGCTCTCAACCATCCTATTTCAACTCACAACAAATATCTAAGTGGATTGTAGTAATGCCATGTCTAGTTGCTCTCCAAGCTCGCAATATGATTCCATTATGAACGAATTAATTGATAAACCATGAATATAAATTCTCCGTTCGACTTCGAATATTGTACATGGGCTAACCCCGTTTGGGTGACAGCGGTAATAAAAAGCCAAATAATAATTAAGTTGGAAGAATTTGTTTCAGTCACTTGTCTATTCGGATATACACCAAGACGAAAAATACGAAAGTGAAGCAAAAGTACGCGTACTAACTCAATTAGACAAAGCGTGGCTGTTTATGGTCAGGTAGAAAAAGCTAAAAACATATGAAAAATAAAATCATCGATACACACATATACATTCAAATAAAGTTATCGGTGAACAACTGATAAGGTCAAAATAAGTGTGGATACTGACTCAAAAAGAACGAATTGATTGGTCTATCTAAAATCAAGACTAATCCATGTAGGCGTGACATTGTGCTAGATGTCATAGCCTTGATCTCAGTGAATGAAATAAAACGCACTGACAATTACTATCCAAACATTTAATCAATTTGTTGAGACAGATGACATCGAGGTTTCCACTTCAAGCGTTTATGTATAGACGTAAATTGATTGAATTTAGTCCAAGAATGTCAACAACAACAAAAATATAAACTATAGCAACCAATAACGAACATGAAGTTTCAAAACGATATGAAATATACGAATTTCCACTGCATATATATATATATATATATATATATATATATATATATATATATAATTACTACGAATTACCTTGATAAATTTTACCTCTGGTGTTTTCGAGTTCAATTTAAGCTCATACGTTTGTCCTGTAAATAATTACAAGAATATAAGTATGGGATAAGCCTGACAGAATAGACTATAAAGTGATGAAGAAAAGTTTTAGTTCAAAAGGATGTTTTAATAGTGTTTAATTCTCAGAGTTAGATGGTTTAAATGAAGTAGGTGTCTAAAATGTCTAGAATGACAATGAAAGCTCTACAACTAAACTGTCCATATATATATACAAATTTATATGCTTTGAATTAGGCATTTTAACGTGTATCACGTCAATTAGTGTAGCCAAGGTTATTCACTTATCACTATTAAACATTTATTATCTAATGATAGTTCATGATGAGAATTATCTTCAAATTATGGAGACGTTCACGAATCAGCTGCATAAATAATAGTTGTGCTATATCCTTCAGTGACCGATTATCTTTGAAATGAAGCTACTGAAAATTCTGGTGAAAAATCTGTGATCGGTTGAATCAAGGAAGTCAATAGTGAGAAACTCTCTGACGAGATTTGCTATGACTTTTTCCCTGTCAATTATCACGTAATAAGATCGCTCATCAGAATATCGACTTAGATGACCTTGTTACTGTGTCAAACCAATGATGCGATAACCAGCACGAGCAGCCTAGAATCAACTCCGAGTCCTTATTGGTCCTTCTCATGTAACCCCACCCGTTGAATCGAGAACGTAATCTCAGCCCCTACTATATGAAACCTATAAATAGTTCCCGCAATTTGCCCAAAGTTTTATCTACTTCGGATACAAAATTATTATAACTTACTCATCATCTAGATATTTCTATGTATGTGGCTTTGAGTAACACTTTAAGTGTGATGGCTACAAATTGTGACAACTAGAAATGATAACCACTTTTTCTAGGTTTCACACTGTAAATCACTGATTGAATTACAGCATAACTTTACCAATTATAAGCGTAAGCTATTGACACAAATGTTTTACACTGTAGTATAATTTTTTGAATATAATATACAAAATTCATGGTTATTTCCTTAATCAGCATCATACAACTTTCCAACATACACAACAGGAAACTTTTTTAAAATATTTTACGGGTGTTTTATAGCTGTTCTAAGACCACATTTATCTGCTAATTGTGAAACTACTTAATATTTTGCTAGAAGCAATGTAGAAAGTGTCTCCATTTTTACAACAGTATTCTAAATATTTCGCACTGTACTTTCCCAATTGAAACAATATGACTTGTTCAAAGAGTGGAACCATGTGAAAGGAATAAGAATTATTTTTACAGAAGAGGAAATGGTTGAAAACAAGTATATATGGCAAATAATATACATATTCAATAATATAGAAATAAACTGAATCAACACAATAGAACGAAGACCAATATAAATGATAATATTTACCTTGATTTAAGTAAGTTAAAGACGCTTCACCTAATCGTGTAGCCGATGATGTTGGAGCTTTCAAAATGTTATCAAACAAATGAGAGTTTGTATCAGCCATTGAAATAAAAGTATTATCACTAAACGGAAATATTAAAGAAACATATTATTAAACAGGCAAACTTCAAAAACTAATTGCATATTTAAACTCGCTATGCAAATTAAGGTTAATTTCGATAGCATAACCAAGTCAAAAATCGAATAAAATGAAAACTAAAACAGTCTAAAAGTCATTCGGTTATAACATGATTTGTTAGTACTTAGTAATGAACAAATGAAACAGAGAAAGGAGCACTTTTAGGACGGCCACATAATATCAAATAAATTGAGAGTTTCATAGTCAATCAGCTACAACGTAGGACCAAGCACATGTATGCATCGGTCCAAGTTGTTACACCTCATTAGCATAACGAGATGAACATCAAATTCATAGATTCAGTTACTTCAATTGTAGTAATATTTATAAATAAACATTAAATATAGAGATATAATACAGGAAGAAAGAATTAGTTCAAAGAAAGGTATAAAGTAATTTTAATCTCACGGTTTAAGGGAAGACAAAGAGCGTATACACCTACAACATTGTAATCGATTTTGAGTCATGTCACTCACAGTCTTCAACTGCTGATTACGACAGTCGTGCGGACCCCAACCAAGTAGTCTGCATCTAATAACATGGTTCAGACCAGAAGTTGTAGAAAGTTACATAAGAGGATATTGAACATTCACTTAAAACATAGAATACTTGGTTAACTTTTCCCTACCTTGGTTTGAAATTTTTACTAGTTTTATTCTACTCTGTTGATAAGAATTCTGGCAACTCAGAATAATCCAGTAATCTGCTACGTTATACTTCGTTTTGTTTAGTCTAATTATATTACACATACATACAATGTATGCGAAGCAATTGTGAAGAGAATGTGTAGCTCAAGGTGAGGATTTTGAAGGTGTTTCATCCTCTTAGCTGGATGGTTTAATTGTGACGCTTTTAGTGTTTTTTTTTGGAACTCTTCTCAACTCTGATGATGTCATCGAGAAAGACAATGAAAGCTTCACGATTAAACCGTCCACCTTAAAGAACAAAACACATTCAAAAAGCAAGGCAATGAAATAAAATATGCATTGATTACTTTGAAGATATGAATTTAATCCAACGAAATAAAAAAAACTGAAATCAACCTTTTTGATTATGAAAAAATCACACCACGGCTCTCTTGAATTATTTGACCCAATTTTCAAATAGTAGTCAGGATTTTCATTAAAGTAAACTTCGATGGACTCTTAAATAGAAAGTTGTCATATTTACTTATTATTCTACTACTGGACTATTGGATTTAAACTTGATATCTTTTTGGCCCATAAATTCTTAAACCTTCGATATGTTAAACTGACAATATCAAGTAGATGTGATGAGCTACATAGGTCACGTATTGTCATGTTGCATTCTTTCGCATACGAATAGTGAACGATAAAATTTTTGATTGAGTTGGTAAACTATGGAGAAATATTATTGATTTTATCCGTTGCTAATGAATGCTTCACCTTAATTTGTTGACTGCTGACTTTTATTTGTAATAACAAGTGTATACATGCCAAAAAAAAATACTAAAATAAGAGGACTGAATACCAAAACCCTCCCTTGTAATTTCAAAGTACCAATATGCTAATCAAAAGAGTTCTTCGTCACTATCAGAGGCTAACTAAATACCATAGACTCGCTGCAACTTATCATCACCTAGATACTTTTTGGAATGCTCATACTTATCAATTCTATGTACAAACTTGTTTGGAACGTACATATTTATTACTTAAAATGATACCGAAAATGTCTTAGAAATAAATTATACCAAATGACATGATAGAAATAAAACGAATAATATGAGAACTAAAACTTACACAGTCTGCGCCGAATTACTAGACAACATAGAGAAATTTGATAAACCTTCATGGTTTGAATCATCAGAAAGCTTACTTTCATCATTACAGAGTGGTAAAGCTGACAGAGCGTCACTACATAAAATAGTCCAAGTAAAAATGAAAATAAAAAGAATATTATAGCATCTTGTCAGTCCCACTCCTAGTTGATTGAAATATTAATTTTCCAATTAAGCGAAAGAACAGTATTCTATGCATCTTGGATTAATAGAACTACTGAAGCCTGATTAAGTTCACATGCAGGGTACTTAGTTATAACCTACTTTAAGCTACCTTACTTGTGTAACCAGCGGTACTACCCAGCTGACAGAACAGACGTAGGTGGAGAGGATTATAAACTTGACACCTAATAATCAAAATCCCGAATCTTTAACCAATGAACCAGCGCTACATAAACATAATAACAGCACATACTTTTCTTTGAAAATATGTATTACAATTAGCTATGGAGAACCTACAAAAGAATTCAATTAATGAAAATCTGACAGCTGTTTTCCACTTCGCTAATAACATAGTTTACTTAATGCCAGGAAATTTTTAAGACACGTTGGAGCAATTTTCAAGTACTCGCCCACCAGCTATTATAACCTCTTCAAAATCGATTGATTTCCAATGACTTAAGGAACTCATGATTATTGAAACAGCAACGATCACACACGATTCGTAGTTAAATAAGCCTCATTTATCGTATATTACCATGTATCAATTAGCGACACCTCATGGTGGTGAGAGCCTTTCACAACAATATGTAGTGTTTCCACTGTAAGATGTGCAATATTAGGAGTGACTGTATGGGTGATTACTTTTGTTTCACCGTATAATACTCGATTTTTGCACGAAAACCGTCCAGTTTTCTGCATAAAGATATTAGAATAAATTACGGAACGATAACGTAGATTTCAGAAAGCGTACATAGCACTCATAAATAGCACATTAATAGCCAACGAACACTATCATGATACATTTAATGTCAAGAGCTAAAAAGGTTCTATAAATAAAACTATGAGGTAAACTATCACGTGATACATTTTTCATCGTTACAAGCAACCCATAACCATTAAGAGCGGTCCCAGACACTTATATCCCCTCTTCAAAAAAATAGCGACATATAAATGACTACCAAAAAAGTTACACTGTAGAAAAAGATAGTGGTCATCACTAACCAAGGAGGATACAGTCTTAAATGACATAAACTGATATACCAATTAGTTCGGCTTTTAGCAGCACCACGAAGCTTAGTAATGATCGAGGTAAGCAGTACCCAAAACGCAAAAAATATTTCAATACATTAGTAAAATTTGGCTTTGAAAATCAGAGAGTATTGTAATTGAGAAAAAATATGTAGAAATTAAAGCTTCCGAAAATTCATCCTAAATTTTTCTAAGATCTTCAAATCGACCAAAGGCCACTGGAAAGCATGGAAGCCTTCACCTAACAGGCTTCCGTATATAGTAACAGTGGATCACCGATACCATCAGGTTTGAACCTAGGCATAATTAATGATACTTACTTACTTACTTACGCCCGTCACTCCTCGTGAAGGAGCATAGGCCGCTCACCAGCATTCTCCATCCAACCCTGTCCTGGCCAATCCCTTTCAGCTACTTCCAGTTGTTGTTCATCCTTTTCATATCTGGTTCTATTTCCTGACGTAATGTGTTCTTTGACCCTCCTCTTCTTCGCTTACCTTCAGGATTCCAAGTTAGAGCTTGCCTCGTGATGAAGTTTGATGATTTGCGTAATATATGTCCTATCGATTTCCATCGTCTTTTACTAATTTCCTCTTCAACTAGAAGCTGGTTTGTTCTCTCCCACAGAAGGCTGTTGCTGATGGTATCCGGCAAATGGGTGTTGAATATCTTGGGTAAACAACTACTTATAAATACTTGTACCTTCTTGATGATGGTTGTAGTTCTCCAAGTTTCGGCTCCGTACAGTAGAACTGTCTTGACATTTGTATTGAAGATCCTCACTTTGATATTGGTTGAAAGTTGTTTTGAGTTCCATATGTTCTTCAATTGTAGGAACGCGGCCCTTGCTTTGACAATCCTCACCTTTACGTCTGCATCTGAACCTCCTTGTTCATCGATGATGTTTCCCAGGTATGTGAAGGATTCTACATCTTCCAGAGTTTCGCCATCAAGAGTGATTGAATTGTTGTTCTCCGTTTTGAATTTGAGGACCTTGGTTTTCCCCTTGTGTATGTTGAGGCCTACTGATGCAGAGACTACTGTTACACTGGCTGTCTTTATATGCATTTGTTCATGTGTATGCAATAGGAGGGCTTGGTCATCTGCGAAGTCAAAATCGTCTAATTGGTTCTGAGTTGTCCATTGTATTCCGTGTTTTCCCTCAGATGTCGAGGTCTTCATAATCCAGTCGACCACCAGAAGAAAGAGAGAGAGTAGAGTTTTGTCTGACTCCGGTCCTTACTTGTAATGCATCTGTCGGTTTTTCTCGGTGCACGACCTTGCACTGTATTCCGTCCTGTGAGTTCCGGATAATGTTGACAATCTTTTCAGGAACTCCATAGTGTCGAATTTTCCGTAACGTCTTCCTATCTACACTGTCGAATGCCTTTTCATAATCAATGAAGTTGATGTACAGTGACAAGTTCCACTCAATTGATTGTTCAACGATGATCCGTACTGTCGCGATTTGGTCTGTGCACGACCGATCCTTACGGAATCCAGCTTGTTGATCTTGATGTTGGGCGTCTACTATGTCTTTCATCCTGTTCAGCAACACTCTGTTAAATGCTTTCCCTGGTACTGACAGTAGTGTGATGCCTCTGTAGTTTTCACATTTGCTCAGATCTCTTTTCTTTGGAATCTTGATGAGGTGTCCTTTTTTCCAGTCCATCGGCACTTGTCCCTCCTCCAAACCTTTTTGAATAGAAAGTGAAGCATGTTTGCAGTTACTTCGATATCTGACTTCAGTGCTTCAGCTGGTATATTGTCAGGTCCTGCTGCTTTCCCACTCTTGATTTGTCTGATGGCCATTCTGATTTCTTCCGTCATTGGTGGATTGACATCTATAGGAAGATCTGTGTGTGTTGCTTCGATGTCCGGTGGACTCATTGGAGCCGGCCTATTCAGGAGTTCCTCGAAGTACTCTACCCATCTGTTCCGTTGTTGTTGAATTTCAGTGATTGGCCTGTCTTCTTTGTCTTTGACCGGTCTCTCTGGTTTACTGTATTTCCCTGATAGTTACTTCGTTGTATCGTAAACCTGTCTCATATTTCCTTCTCTAGCAGCTTTTTCCGCCGTCGTTGCTAGTTCTATCACGTACTTCTTGTCGGCTCTAATGCTCTTTTTCACTTCCTTGTTTGCTTCTGTGTACTCAACTTGTGTTTGGACTTTCTCTGCTCGTGTTCGGCTGTTTTTAATTGCTGCCTTATTGTTCTTCCTTTCTTTGATCCTGTCCAGTGTTTCTATAGAGATCCATTCCTTATGATGATGCTTCTTCAGGCCGAGAACCTCTTGACACGTTGAAGTTAACGCTTCTTTGATACTTTTCCAGTTGTCCTACATAGTAGATTCTTCTTTCCTCAGTAGATCCTGTAAGGCTTGGGACCTGTTGTTGAGAGCTATCTTCAATTCATTGAGTTTGTCAGTATCTCGAAAGAAGGCTGTATTGAAACTTTGTATTGCTGTTTGTCCAGTTCTTCTTTAGCTTCAGTTCTAAATTGGCTACAACTAGTTGGTGATCTGAAGCTATGTCAGCTCCTCTCCTGGTTCTTACATTTTCCATTGTCCTTCGGAACCTTTTATTGATGCAAATATGATCTATCTGGTTCTCTGTGTTGTGGTCCGGTGAGATCCAGGTAGGTTTGTGTATACGTTTGTGTGGAAATATTGTGCATCCTATGACCAATTTGTTGAATGCACACAGATTTTAAAATCTTCCTCCATTTTCGTTTCTCTGTCCCAGTCCATGTCATCCCATAATATCTTGACATCCGGTGTTGTCTATTCTGACTTTGGCATTTAGATCTCCCATCAGAATGGTGAGGACATTTCTTGGCCACTTCTCTATGATTGATTGCAGCCGCTCGTAGAATTGATCCTTAATGTCGTCGATGCTTTCATTGCTAGGTGCATAACATTGGATAATATTCATTGTGATCCCCTCCTTCTTCGTTTTGAATGATGCTTTGATGATTCAAGATCCGTAAGATTCACATTCTAAGAGTGCATTTCGTGGTACAACATAGCAGAGTGGTCGTAGGCACACCTTCTACTCGTTGAGAGTAATCAGATGCTGGAATTTTCTGCCTTCTGAGCTAGTGCAAGCGGCTTCCAATGAGTCCTATAAGAGAGAACTTGACATGTTCTTACGGACTAAGGACAGCATTTCGTTATAATTTACCGAAGTTTTTCTCACTTATCACTAAAAATCCCTAGGTTCCAACCCGATGGTATCGGTGATCCACTGTCACTTTATACGGATGCCTGTTAAGCGAAAGCTTATTTTATTCTGTGCAAAATCATTTAAACGTCTCGGCAGGTTTTGTGCAGAGAACATGAGTAAACTGATATAAAGATGCAGTACTCTTGATGAGTTGAGAAAATAAAACTTATATGTGGCACTCTTAACCTAATTTACCCAGGTCCTGACAATACTCTCTCTCTCTCAAAGATGCTAAAATAGAGAATTTACCGCATATTAAACATTGATCGGACGCCTACGCCGATGCCGTTCATCGTGTCATCGAAACACGCAGACAAATCAGCTTCATCAAAACTCCAAGACGAGCTCTCTGCCATCACAAATAGGCTGATAGACGACTGGTTGTATGGAGGCTACGCAACCTTCGATTACCGCGCTTCAAAATCAAAATGTCCAGTCTTCAGTAAACAGGATAGGAGGTCTATCGACCTATATTAATCCTTGCAATTTGTGATACTGTGAAGGTACAATCTCGTTTTGAATATATCAACGGAAGGTGCTGATATTACGTGTTCTGGTAGAGAATTCCAGTAATTCACTACTCGGTGCGAGAAAAGAAACTTCAGACTTAAACGATTTCACCTAGGTTTTTGAACTTTCTTCAAATGTCCTCTCAAGTGATCAGTCCTGGACGGAAGTAAAAGATAAGACATGTTATTACCAAGGTCATCGTTCAGTATACGATAAGCCAATATTAGATCACTCCGTACCCTACGGTAAGATAACGGTAATAAGTTGAGGTGTCTCAGTCTGTCTTCATAAAATAGGTCAGGTAGACCTTGTACCATCTTAGTACCTCGTCGTTGAACTCTTTCCAGCATCTCTTCTTCATACTTGAAACAAGGACTTGCTGCTTGAATCCCATATTCTAAATGTGGTCGCACGTAAATCGGGTATAATAATCTAAAGATTTCATCATCTAAATACTAGAAAGACCTACGAAATAACCATAATACCCTATAGCCTTTCGCAGCGGCAGCCCTACAGTGACTAGGGGTTTTCGAGATCACTGCTCAATATGACTCCTAAATCTTTATAGGTTCTTACTTTGGGTAGCACGAATCCACATATTGTATAGTGATACGATTCACCATAGTTATTTATTTGCATCACCACACTCTTATTAGGAGTTACTTCTAGTGACCACCTATCCAACCATGCCACCAATGAATTTACAACCAGAATGGGAGACCTTATTGAAGGTCTTACTTAGATCTATGAAGATCATATCCACAGGAATATTTCGATCTTTTGCAGCAGCCCAATCTTCTCTTGTAATGAGAAGATTTATCAAGAATGATAGGCCTATCCGAAAACCCTATTGTTCCCTGGAGAAAAGATTATGCCCTTCAACATAGTTTATAACAGATATCGAAATGATTTTTTCCATCAGTTTTACAACTCCACTAGTTAAGCTAACGGGTCTATAGTCACTAAATAAATCCCTACTCCCAGCCTTATACACTGGACTTATTATAGCGTCTTTCCAGTTTCTGGGCAGTCTAGACTGCCTCAGAGACATGTCAAACAGCATCGCTAGTGGTGAAGCAATTACATCTTATATGGCTTTCATAATCCTGAGATGAATATGTAGAATTATGGTCTACTATGATATTAGTACTGCTCTAACAATAGACCTAATCCTAAAATTGTAGATTTGTCATGGTATAACTGCCTAATCTATAAGATCTTACGTGGAAGTCACACCATCGACTACACCAACTCACTGTATCGTATCAATTACCAATACATGATGTAGAACAAGGTTAGGCTAGAGAAAGAACAATATATTTAATATGAATAGAAGATATAAGTTAACATTCGGCAGAGACCACGCCTGTTTGGCCGAGCCATGCCACTCGATCAACTCCAGTCCATTCAATCCATGGTTCGCGCCTTCTCCATTGTTAGGTATTTTTCCGTGTTAAATATTGAATATCTATTTTCTGAGTAGTCTTGTGTTCAGCTTTGAAGATTGTGTGGTTATGGTCCAATGCCACTACACTACTCTCCCACCAGAATCAACGTGATGTTGGTTTGATACCAAATTGGATGGGATCGTCGCGCGCCAGAGGTTACCAAGGATAATAAAAATCCTCCGGGTATTGGTAAGCTGAAAGACAAATCAAAAAGAAGGCGGCAGCATCTGGTCGGGAAATACATGTAATAATTTTGAATATATCTACCTTCATGCTTAAAACGCTTGAAATGAAAATTTGGGTGAAGATTATTTGAACTATAAAGAATGGTATAACAATAATAATAATAAAACGATGCGTGCTAATAGCCGTTGGTTAATAACTTAACGTATAGGTAATAAGTATTTTGTGTTTAGAAATATTAAAGTGATGAATACTGTAGAAATGTTAATATTGGTATTAGCTTTGGTTTAAATTATGAAATCAAATAACGACTATGCCGGTAAGTTGTCCATATGAGTTGAATTCCAATTGCATCTGTATTAGTAGGCTAACTGAAGGAACAAAAGTATACCGTGGAGAAGAATTCCAACTAGTGTTTCAGTTAGTTTGATACGGTTTATTTAGTTACGGGGAGATTTTCTCAACCTCATTTTTACTTGACCGTGATAGAATTTAGTAATACTACTAATACACATGAATGGTTATCAAAATAAAATTTAAATACATGAGTGATGATTATATGGATTTTGGACAGATAGCTAGGAAAAATCGTTAAACATGAGTGTGTTCGTAAGAGACATGCTCTGGACTCAATGTTCTGATCTGCGGCAGACTATTTATTTATATTTATACTTGCCGGCTGATTGGGCACACAAGTTAGTTGCAAGTATGCAGTTTATCATAAGGCGGAATACGATTTAATTGAGATATAGTGGTTATAAGTTATTGAAATCAGTTAAGCTTATGTGTCATATTACTAAGTGATGTGGTGCTGCAAGATGTATTTGGCTAAATAAGTTTTTACAAGATGATTAATAGTGAGTGATGCTCATATGATTATCAAAGAGAACATAAGTTGTAACCAAGGGGAGTACACTCCCAACTCATGTCTATGATAATGGCTTGAACCTTATTCAGTGTTGGGGTAAATTCGACATTGATGTTTTCAGTTTGCAGGAGATTTGCTCGACTGCTTATACTGATTATTTGCATGCATGATTGTGTCGCTAAACCATCAATTAGACTGACAAGGTTTTGAGATATTTACTGAATGAGCAACTGATAGAGAAACATACTGTAATCATCTGTGATGGATGAAGATACCAAGAAAACAACACCATTTAATGGTAATTATAAGTCAATTTGTTGACCGATTTCGTTAATAGTTTCATTAATTTTATCAGTCATATTACGTGATTGTCAAGTCATGACAATGCTTTATGACGATATCCTGAAACTATTAAATTTAACTAGTTATAGTTGTAAGATCCAAACTACGTTTGGACTGCTGGACAGCTGTCTGGATGAGTTAGATACGCGCCCTCGCCCGATTGAAACCAAAACAAAGTAATTGGGTAAGATAGCGGTTCTATAATTTATCATAAATTTAAGTGTACATTATTACCTAAACAAATATAACCACTCAGCTATCCAACCAATAATTGTTCAATTGATCAAATCTAAACAATCATCACAAATAAATGTTATTCTATCCTGTCTGGATAGATCACGTACAGATTCGTTCAAAAGGTAATAATTGGTCGCTCTATAACACAGAGTGTTTTCAATTCTGGAAGAGTGCTCCAATTCACAACCAAAATGCACAATTCCAGTCAACACAGGTCGAGCAATCAAAAGCAGGAACAAACCAAAATGGCTGCCGCCCAGACTTAGTATAAAGTAAAACAACATAAGTGCAGTTCGGGAAGAAACATGGGGAATTAGTGAAGGTGTAGTAAAAACAAAAACTATAATAAAATACAGATATTAACGATTCAAATGTAGCCAAAAAGTTAACAATGTACAACTAAGAGGATCAATAGGAACAAAGTTCAAGTATATACATGGAGGGATTTTCACAAACACACAAGCATTCAAAATGGATCTTACACCGGCCCCCAAAATCCCTCCATATCACACAAGCTACCTTGATGCCTATGTTCATGGTTCATTATGTAGCATATGACACTATAGGAACGAGTAGGACTTACAACAGTACGCCTACTCGACCTACCTACATTAATAACAACAAAGACTAATCCGAAGCTTCAAGGAGACCTGTTTCATTTGCTCTCTGGTGTTCGACAATAACACTCGTGGTATAGACTTAGTCACTCTTCCCCAAACTCCACCCATGCTGTTGGATGAGGGCCTCGCTGACAATTCACTATTTACCTTCTGCTGATCCGACTGTTGCACAAACTTCCTTAACTCAGAAACTGCCCACACGAAGCTTGACGCACTGTCACTGTAAATCTCCGGAGGTTTCCTTCTTCTTCCAATACAACGTAATAAGGCCATTATAAATGAATCAGTAATCAAACTACACATCATTTGAATATGTACTGCCCATGTTTGCAAACAAGAAAACACATATCCATACCCTTTTTCTAATGATCTTCCTATGTGTCCTTGTTCTTTAGGACAATGTCTAATAATCATTTCCGTCACTAAGTGTCGACTGGGTAAAATTACTGGATGTTTAAAGGCATTTGGGGAATCTGAGTATCTTAGTCGACCTCCAACGCAGAGTAACCCATCACACATTATCAATGCTAAATCTTTCAGACCATCATGACATATTACTTTACTGCTGTTTTTAAATTCACTAAGTAATTCTCCATACACTTCTCTCTGAACCATCAATAAAATCTTACGCTTGGCAATACCAAGCTCTTTGACCTTTAAACATCCTAGATGAACGGATCCTTCATGACTCGGGGAACGAAGTACTTACTTACTTACTTACTTACTTACTACCATCAGGAATTCTATGAACCTTCTAAGCCAGGAACTCCGCCTGTAGCTCTTATAGGGTTACTCCCGGTCCCAAGCCCGGGTAAAGGAGGAGGGTTGGGCATGGGGTTAGCGTCCCCATCCCGTAGAAAACTAACTCGCTAAAAAAACGCTTACCAGAAAAATAATCCAAACCATTCTAACTCTGCCCTGGGAGTTAGAAGGTCTTCATTTAGAAGAATTATGACGCTTCATGGTGAAAGCCGAATTCCTTCGGAAGCCACGAGGCCGATGCCCCTTCTAACAACCAGAGCAAAAATTTTTATAGGTACATGGAACGTTCGAACAATGTGGGAAACCGGGAAGACCAGTCAAATAGCAACGGAAATGAGGAGATACAACTTGGCTGTACTGGGAATCAGCGAAACTCACTGGACCCA